ATGGCAATGAACCGGCAATCGCTTCGCCTCTAGGTAGCTTAAATATCGGTCGCAAACGTTCGGCAGGCTCACCCCTAAAGACTGCGCCTGTTCAGGACGCTGCGAGCAACAAGGAAAACATTTCCAGCCGTGATACGGATGAGCATTTGCAAACGAAAAAACTGCTGATTACTTCTCATGGGGAGTATCCAGGCGAAACGGCTCTTTAGCATTAAGTGAACCACACAGGTTTGCAACATTTAACGTTAAAACCGTTGCACGGTTTTAAAAAACTGTCCCCTCAAACATATTGCTTCCGTGAAATTGTTTTCGAAAACAAACCAGCTGCCAGATCTGGCGGCGTTTTAAGTATAAGAAAAACGCGTTTGCTTTGTAACTGGCTGCGTTTTGAAAGTACATATATTTTAAATGCATGCCTCCCTAGTATTCAACAAAAATATTACTTAAAAATACATTTAATAAAAATATTTTATTAACCTTACCGAAAAGTTTTACAATTATCATTTAAGGCCCCAGCACTGGATATTATTATTATGCCCAATTTTATACGTAGTATACAATTTAAAATAAAATAAAAAATGATAATCACTGAAACCTTGTGAATTGATTTAAAGACATTTAATGTTATGACTGCACTTATTAATTTTTTATAATTTTTATAAATTTCTTTATACATTTTTCATAAATTAATAGAAAAAAGTTAAAATCGGATTGATTTAAATATTGAAGTATCGATATATGTATCTGTTAGGCAACACTGACATTTCTGCCTGAACTGGCATTATACAGCACTCAAACAAAACATCTGATTTTTGTTGACAGCCGCTCGACAACGAAAACAAAACAAAATTTTTATTAAACAAAAGTATTTCGTAAATAATTGTTGCACTAAATAAAATATCGAACAATATGGGCACCTGGGTACTTGAGGTAGCCAAAATGGGCATGTACATGGCATTTCCAGTAGCGTTGTTTCACATATTCAATCAGCCCGAGTACTTTGAGGAATGGGTGACCAAGAAGAAACGCGAGCTTTACCCGCCGGAAAGCAAGAGCCATCACGAGGAACTGCAGCGTGCCATACGTGAACACCACCAGAAACACGATGCAGAAATGATGCGCGCAATGCAGGAGGCGGAACGCAAGAAGTAAACCCTCAACTACACTTAATTTACTAAAAATGTATTTGATATCAGCTGTGTTATATAAGTCAAGTGGCATACTGACCATCAAGTGCGGCAAAACCCACAGAGTGACGAGCTGCTTTGTCACAATCACAATATACCGTTGCTTGTGTAAATAAATGAATGTCAGTCTACTTTTTCAGTGTTTACCCTCTTGCAATTTAGTGGAAACTGGAACTTCAAGTTCACTCGCTCGCTCTTATCAGCAGGACTCTTGTATTATGATTACATGACTCAATTGCAGTAGTACACCGCTGAAAAACAATCCACTTATCAATGGATCACGATATGCCACACCACCCTCTGCGCGCGTCTCCATGCCTTATCGCCGACCTGCACTTGCATGTCTGTCCAGAAGTGCCACATGTTATGACGATTCGCGGCAGCACCCGGCACCTTTATCCGATGACCGCCAGATGACCGTCGAGCCATTGGGAGTATTCGATCAGCTCTAGACTAGATCCACTTTAAGCTATTAACACACAGCAACTGTGTTGCAGGAGTTGCCTTTATCTCATTTTCACACGGTATTTACAATAACATCGACAGTTGTAAAATTCCAATGGCACAGATTGTTTTGAAAGCTGCCGACGGCTACCAAAGTAATATATAGTATACGTACTACAGTAGGACAGATATTATACTTTTCATTAGGCAATGTTTTAAACTGTGTTCGGGAGCACTGAGTCATCGCACTATCGGCTCTACTCGCGCATCGGTTCCAGCTGCACTTGATTTATTAGTTTCCACAGTAGGAGAGAAGGGTCATCGGCGCTGGCAGCGACGTCGACGGCATTCAGTTATGCCCTTATCCAATGCATCGATTTTTCAAGCTAAGTAATGGCTGTCCAGAGGCAATCAGTTTTATTTTAGCCATTGAAGTGAACAGAACAGAAACATGGCACAAGCAAAAGTACTGCCACAATATATAGCTGGCTTGTCCGCAGCGTTTGGAGCCTTTTGTATGGGCGCCAGTATGGGCTGGTCAGCGCCTGTAGAGAAAATGTTGACGGAGGAGGAAGCTTACGGGTTTCCAATATCCAGCGACCAATTTGGCTGGGTGTCTTCCCTGCTAACACTCGGTGCAACCGTCGTTTGCATACCCGCAGGATTCATTATCGACTGGATTGGCCGCAGACCGACAATGTTGGCCCTGATCCCGCCGTACATGGTGGGCTGGATTCTGATGATCTTTGCCCAGAATGTGATGATGCTCTATTTTGGACGCTTCATTCTGGGCGTTTGTGGTGGTGCCTTCTGTGTGACTGCCTCCATGTACACCACGGAGATATCAACTATTTCCACACGTGGCACACTGGGAAGCTTCTTCCAGCTGAACACCGTCTCGGGGTTGCTGTATGGCTACATTGTTGGCGGCTACCTTCCACTGTTGACCATCAATATACTCTGTGCTATATTACCTCTAATCTTTGCCGCGGTGCACTTCTTTATGCCGGAGTCGCCAGTTTATTTGGCCATGAAAGGCCGGCCTGAAGATGCAACCAAGTCTCTTCTCTGGCTGCGTGGCAAGGACTGCGATGTCAGCTACGAGCTCAAGGAAATTCTAGAGGAGACAAACAAGAACGTGGATGAGCCTAAGCTTAGCACCTTTCAGATGCTGCGACGTCCCATAACCCTCAAGGGAATCGGCATTGCGGTGATTATGCAGGCCTTGCAGCAGTGGACGGGCATTAATGCTATCATGTTTTACTCCACATCCATCTTCGAGGATGTTGGTGCTGACCTAAGCGGTCGCATCTGCACCATACTGATCGGAGCTACTCAAGTAATCATGACACTTGTGGCGACGTTAATAATTGACAAGGCTGGTCGACGCATTCTGCTCCTTATTTCTTCCTTCTTCATGGCCATCACGACCTGCCTGATGGGCGTGTATTTCCAAATGAAAGAAAGCGATCCGACGTCGGTGGAGTCTCTCGGGTGGCTCCCCATCACCAGCATACTGGTATTCATTGTGTTTTTCTCCATTGGCTTCGGTCCCGTGCCGTGGCTAATTATGGCCGAGTTGTTTACCGAAGACGTCAAAAGTGTCGCCGGCTCCATTGCGGGCACGAGCAACTGGTTCTCCGCCTTTTTGGTCACAAAACTCTTTCCGTTATTAAAGAATAGTATTGGATCGGCGCCAACGTTTTGGATATTTGCTGGAATCGCTGTCATCGCTTTTGTCTACTCACTGATTTGTGTGCCGGAGACAAAGGGTAAAACGCTTCCCGAGATTCAGCTATTGTTGGCTGGCGGCAAAAAGAATAACGACACCGAGACGAAGGGCAATTAGAACTGGGCCTAAGCATATACATACATACATATGTGTACATATGTCTAGTCTATAGCTATACTCTCTATCAATAAGAATAAACAAATATATTTTCAAATACTAGATCAATTGTTTGCAATTTAATGTATGTATGTATGTATGCATGTAGAATAGTACTACGCAAACTGATTGGTTTAGCATTGCTTGGTAGGCTTGGTAGCTCTTTGCATACATACATACATACATACACACATACATAGGCAAATATAACTTCAATATTAAGCCAGGAAACCAAGTGCATACATATGTATGTGTATGTACAGTTGCTTATACATACATACAAGCAGATCAAACGCATTTTGTGCGTTCTTCCATTCTCTTATATTTCGTTCGAGACATACAAACATATGCACTATATGTGTATGTATGGGATGTAAGCCGCTAGAATATTCCGTTATTTTTCGTGTATTGCAGGCAGAGTATGAATGTATGCAGAAGAGGCAGGCTAGTTTGCAAGACATGAGCGCAATATACTGATGTTTGCTAATAAGCGCAAATTTAAAGATCAAAAGTGGCAAAATGTATTCCTTAGCGATGAGAAAAAGTTTAATTTGGCTGGCCCAGACGGCAATCGAGTTCCTTATCGCCTTTGTATTCGAAAAATGTAGCAAACGTCATCTCGATTTCTTCAATAACTTGCATTGAACCGCGTGCGTTTTGGTTAGGCCGCAAGTTTTTATCACCCGCCGCACCCCGCTTCCAGTGAGACACAGAAGAAATTACCCGTCGGCGGGGTCAAATGAATAATGCATAATTCTCTGTGTAAAAACAAATCTCTCTAATGACCACGAAAACCACGCGTCCTCGAATTCGCAGAACTCTCGTACCCCACGTAATCTATTAATAATCTATAACTTATCAATAAAATTGTGAACATCATAAACTTTTATGGTCCACTGTGATTTTGCCCAGGTTATTCGCATGGAGCTGTCCGCGTTGTTGCCTAAACAACAAATTGATTAAAGTGCTGGCCAAGAAAATAATTAATGTGCTCGTTGCTCCAATTCAAATGTTGTTTTGTTTATTATTATTATTATTATTTTTTTTTTAATGTTTATTGCATTGAATCAAAAACAGTTGGCTTTGGTGATATTTCGCCAAGATAATTTATTATTATTATTTTTTTCTTATAAAACAGAAAAATGACAACCGCTGAATTGGAACCAACGTCTTCCCGCTTGTTAATCCATCGCTCACACACTTAAGCCACACAGGCTGATGACGTCACGCTTGCAAAGCACAATTATGTATATATGTGGCTGGGAATCTTGGTGCTCGCTTTCGACCAAAAAGGAAACTTTGTCAAGGTTCGGGCTGTGCTTCTCTCTCTTATTGTTAAAGAATCCAATCAGCTTATCGCCCAGCTTACCCCGGCAATGTTTAAATAGCTTCTGCTGTTTTTCAGAGATTCATTTTCTCATTTTGCTTGGAATCAGGCTTAAGTCAACCAAACCTGGTGCTCAGATGACTTAAGTCAAGAATTTCGGCGTTATCAAAAATGTTTTATGTGGATTCAACATTTGTTTACCCTTGCGGAATGACTATAGAATACTTGATCTTTTCTAGCAGTGTTAAAACTATAACTAGATACTTGACTGTTGTCCCAGGAGGTTGGAATTGCTTGTTGGCTTATTGGATTATTGGATATGCGGCCGCCAGCTAGCAGATGCTGAATCTCGAGAAGCGTTTTACCCTTTGTTTCCGGCACCCAAATAAAGGTCCATACGAAAGCGAAGACACCGATACCGGAAAAAATCCAAAATGTTGGCGCCGATCCAATATTATTATTTAATAACGGAAAGAGTTTAGTGACCAAAAATGCGGAGAACCAGTTTACGGTACCCGCAATGGAACCAGCAATACTCTTGACGTCCTCAGTAAAGAGCTCGGCCATAATTAGCCAGGGCACGGGCCCAAAGCCAACGGCGCTGGCCACAATGAAAACGAGAGTACTGGTGATGGGGAGCCATCCGATAGAAGCCACCGAATCCGGGTCGGAGTCCTTCATTTGAAAATACACGCCCATCAGGCAGGTCGTAATTGCCATGAAGAAGGCAGAAAAGAGCAGTAGAATGCGGCGACCAACCTTGTCGACGATTAACGTTGCCACAAGAGTCATAACCAGTTGGGTAGCTCCGATCAGAATGGTGCAGATGCGGCCGCTGAGGCCTGAACCAACGTCCTCGAAAATGGACGTGGAATAAAACATGATGGCATTAACACCTGTCCACTGCTGCAGAACCTGCAGCATGACCGCAATGCCAATTCCCTTGAGGGTTATGGGACGTCGCAGCGCAGTAAAGGTGCTAACCTTGGGCTCATCCACGTTCTTGGTTCTCTCCTCCAGAATTTCCCTGAGCTCGTAGCTGACATCGCAGTCCTTGCCACGCAGCCAGAGAAGACTCTTGGTTGCATCTTCAGGTCGGCCTTTCATGACCAAATAAACTGGCGATTCCGGCATAAAGAAGTGCACCGCGGCAAAGATTAGAGGTAATATGGCACAGAGTGTATTGATGTACAACAGCGGAAGGTAGCCGCCCACAATATACCCGTATAGTAGCCCCGAGACGGTGTTGAGCTCGAAAAAACTTCCCATCGTGCCACGTGTGGCCACGGTAGATATTTCCGTGGTGTACATGGAGGCAGTCACACAAAAGGCACCACCGCAAACGCCCAGAATGAAACGTCCAAAATAGAGCATCATCACATTCTGTGCAAAGATCATCAGAATCCAGCCCACCATGTACGGCGGGATCAGGGCCAACATTGTCGGTCTGCGGCCAATCCAGTCAATAATGAATCCTGCGGGTATGCAAACGACGGTTGCACCGAGTGTTAGTAGAGAGGAGAGCCAGCCGAATTGGTCGCTGGATATTGGAAACCCGTAAGCGTTCTCCTCCGTCAACATTTGTTCTACAGGCGATGACCAGCCCATACTGGCGCCCATACAGAAGGCTCCAAAGGCTGCGGACAAGCCGGCTATATATTGTGGCAGTACTTTTGCTTGTGCCATGTCTCTGTTCTGCTCAGTGCCACGGCTAGAATCGAACTGAATGCCACTGGACAAGCATTTCTTGGCTGAGGGCAACACAACGTGCCGTCGATGGCCCTCCTCTCGCACTGCGGGAATTGATAACTGAAGTACAATTTACCTGTTATACCTGTTCAAGAATGAACATAAGTTGAACAAATACAAACAATGTTAAACTAAATGTAATAAACAAGCCAAAAGATAAGTGAGTTTACGACCGCGCATTACCAATTCGAGATTAACTAATTAACTACGGGTAACTAACCCAAGTAAATATTCCTTCGTGGGAAGCGAGGTGTAGAGGTGTAAGATGCATTCTGTTATTCAGATCCTTTTCGTTTCAACCCATCAATTACTATGGAAGTCAACTCAAGAAGATATCATCACGAACTAATGCTGGGAAGGTCAAATAATGGAGCTGCGAAATTCTATCACAAGGCTTATGGAGAGGAATTGTGAGGAATGAAGTGTGACCAGGCAATAGAAGATGTTTAAAGGTCTGAACGAAAAAGAAGATCTACCTTCGGAACGCCGAAGATGTAATACCCTTGCAGACCCAACCTTTTCATAAACCTCATAATGCTTTACCCGTATTTATGAAGCACAGGGAAATTAGTTAATGCTGAGTATGGTTAAGGTATCTTGAAAAACAAAAAGTTTTTCAAACAAGAACCTACTTTTTTACTTATCGTTCCTATGGCAGCTATATGATATAGGGATCCGATGTAAGCCAGATTTTGCATAAATGCAGGGAGCATAGTGAAACTTATAAATGCCAAATTTGGTCAAGATATCTAGAAAAACAAAAAAGTTTTCCATATAAGAACTTAGCTTTCGACCGATCGTTCCTATGGCAGCTATATAATATAGTGGTCCGATGTTGATAGGATTTTGTCAATATAAGAGGAGCATAGTGAAACAAATTAATGCCGAGTTTGGTCAAGATATCTAAATAAACAAAAAAGTTTTTCATACAAGAACCTACTTATCGACTGATCGCTCCTATGGCAGCTATATGATATAGTGATCCGATGTTAATAATATTTCGCCTTTATATAAGGAGCATAGTGAAACTAATAAATGCCGAGTTTGGTAAAAATATCTCGAAAGACAAAAAAGTTGTTCATACAAGGACCTACTTTTTGATCGATCGTTCCTATGGCAGCTATATAATATAGTAGTCCTATCCAGCCGGTTCCTACATATGTACTGAGTTCAACAGAAAAAGGGACTTCTGCAAAGTTTCATGACAATAAAACTGAGAGACTATTTCGCATCAAAACAGACAGACGGAAAGACGGACAATATCGACTCGGCTGTTGATACTGATCAAGAATATATATAATTTATGGAGTCATTCAGACACTAGAATGTGACTTCAGGGTATTGTATAAAATATTTAATGGCAGCATCAATGAGCACCAAATTTTAGATTTTTTTTAGATAAACATTAAATGAAGACCTAACCCCCCTGAAAATAGGAGTGAAAGGACGACCAATAGGTGGAGAAAGGATTGTGGATTCTAGTGAGCTTAGGCCTTTACCGAAAAGAGGGGTTTTAACCAATTTTGTTGAGAGGCACGGGAAAGTATTGAAACAATGACTTATTCTGTATCTTTATGGATTATACGAAGGTCCACCTCCCAAAATTTTGTGTATTTAACTATTAGCATGCTGAGTTAGAATATATGTTAGATTAAATGAGTTCGAATATATGTTAATTTATTAATTTATTATGTACACATGTACATATACCCCATACACCGTACCCCCCCCCCCCCCCCCCCCCCCGTATCCCATAAAGGTTCGGAGATTTCTCCTTCTGCCTATGGTATAAAACTCGCTCTACTTGGAATCAGACTTAGATTAAGTTTAAATCGAGCTGAACAGATTTAAATGAAAAACTGCAAGATTCGAAAAACTATTTATCTGATTTTAAGATTGTTCCGTTCTAACGGCAATTAATAACTTCTGCTGAATGAGTAGTAAATTGTTGATCCTTACTTTCAGTGCGGCCGGAAAGGGTTGTAAATGTTGTATGTTCCATTGAATTATATTTCTTGCCACCGGCGAGTAGCTGTTGAATCTCGAGAAGCGTTTTACCTTTCGTCTCCGGCACGCAAATTAGCGTCCACACGAAGCCGACGAATGCGATGCCGGAATATACCCAAAATGTTGCCGCTGGTCCAATATTATCCTTCATAAGGGGGAAGAGTTTTGTGACCAAAAAGGCGGAGAACCAGTTTACGGTACCCGCAATGGAGCCGGCGACACTTTTGACGTCCTCAGTAAAGAGCTCGGCCATAATAAGCCAAGGCACGGGCCCAAGACCAACGGAGCCGGCCATCATGAACACGATTATACTGGTAATAGGCAGCCATCCTATAGATGCCACTGACTGCGGGTCTTGCCCCATCATTTGGAAATACACACCCATTAGGCAGGTGGTAATGACTATGAAGAAGGAGGAAACCAGCAACAGAACCCGTCGCCCAACCTTGTCGATTATCAACGTGGCCACAAGAGTCATAATCAGCTGAGTAATTGCGATCAGAATAGTACAGATGCGGCCGCTGAGGCCTGCACCAACGTCCTCGAAAATGGACGTGGAATAAAACGTAATGGCATTAACACCTGTCCACTGCTGCAGAATCTGCAGCATGACCGCAATGCCAATTCCCTTGAGGGTTATGGGACGTCGCAGAGCAGTAAAAGTGCTAACCTTGGGCTCATCCACGTTCTTGGTTGTCTCCTCCAGAATTTCCCTGAGCTCGTAGCTGACATCGCAGTCCTTGCCACGCAGCCAGAGAAGAGACTTGGTTGCATCTTCAGGTCGACCTTTCATGACCAAATAAACTGGCGATTCCGGCATAAAGAAGTGCACCGCGGCAAAGATTAGAGGTAATATGGCACAGAGTGTATTGATGTACAACAGCGGAAGGAAGCCGCCAACAATATACCCGTATAGCAATCCCAAGACAATGTTGAGTTGAAAAAAGCTGCCCATCGTGCCACGTGTGGCAATAGTTGATATCTCCGTGGTGTACATGGAGGCAGTCACACAGAAGGCACCACCGCAAACGCCCAGAATGAAACGTCCAAAATAGAGCATCATCACATTCTGTGCAAAGATCATCAGAATCCAGCCCACCATGTACGGCGGGATCAGGGCCAACATTGTCGGTCTGCGGCCAATCCAGTCGATAATGAATCCTGCGGGTATGCAAACGACGGTTGCACCGAGTGTTAGTAGAGAGGAGAGCCAGCCGAATTGGTCGCTGGATATTGGAAACCCGTAAGCTTCCTCCTCCGTCAACATTTTCTCTACGGGTGCTGACCAGCCCATACTGGCGCCCATACAAAAGGCTCCAAACGCTGCGGACAAGCCGGCTATATATTGTGGCAGTACTTTTGCTTGTGCCATGTCTCTGTTCTGTTCACTTCAATGGCTAAAATAAAACTGGCCAACCATTTCTTGGCTTAAAAGAAACGCTGCATTGGATAATGGCAAAACTGTGTGCCGTCGGCGTCGCAGCTAGCGTTGATTGCCCTTTCCCTTTCCTTTACCTTTCTGAATCTGGAACTGAGGTGGGAGTATAGCATGGGATATGGAGGAACATTTAAAGACCCGGAATTGTTCCCGTACCATATAAAAAGAGTCTCATTTGGCCTGATCGTTCGTGTTGTGAGAGTTGATATTTGTAAATAGCTCGGAGTAGATCTAGTCGAGACCTAGTCGAGCGGCACACACTTAAGTACTTAACTCGAGGGTCGTCTGTCGGTCATCGGGCGAGGGGGGCAGCGGGAACTGGCGCTCACTGAAGTCAGTCTCGTGCACTTATGATAAGCGTATTGGAATTTTTTAGCTAGGGAATTCATACTTTGTCTGCCCTTGTAGAGAGAAGTATATTAGTTTTGCCTAGAAACGTGTAACGCGTCTCATATAGCTATATTGTCTTCTATACAAACTGGTTAGCTTTTGATAAACCACATGCGGAGATCAGGACATTCGGACAGTCGGAATCTTAAGCATGATCAGTCGAAAGTTGTTTTAGTTTTTCAAGATTTCTTGATCAAATTAAGCATATTTTTAATAATATATATAAATTGTATGTATATATAGGATGGAAAAAGTGTATCATGGAAATCTCAGATCTCAAATATAATAAAAAGTTCCTATAGAAACCATTTCTCAAGCTAGATGTCTGGTAGAGTGTTAAAAGTTCGGCGTGACGAGGTTTTCAGATTTCCAATGCAGGATTGTGGACACGTGGACTTATCAGCCGCTGTTAATAATAATTTGAAATGGTTTAAAAAATGTCTAGATTCCTCAATTTTGTACAATTTCCAAGTGTTTATTAATTATGTTTTGCGTTTTTGTTTTTTTTTTTTTGTATCGTGTGTCGTGTTTTATATATAATACGAATTTAAATATATATATGCATTTACTTAAGGTCTACAGAATATTAATAAACAGTTTTCGGGCTGCTTTTTTCGTGGTTTCAATTTGGGTTTTTTGTTTATTGTGTTTATTAAATGTTTGTTATTTGCACTGAGAATATTAACATACATATTTCTATGATAAGTCGAATGGAATTGCACAAACTTTTTTGAATTGGACACAAAAAAGTTGCTAGAAATAAGCTTCTGTCGTAGCGCAAATAATCAATTGATTAATGTGTTTTAAATATTTATCTGTTTTATTCAAATGTTTCAATTGCTTTCTAAGGCCCAGGCAATGCTTGTTCTCGAGTGTGTTATGCTGTGAAAAGCAGAAAGTGTTTAATAAATTGAATGAATTTCAGTTAATAAATATTGTGCCTTACAACTTTACATGCTATGGCAGTTTAATTTGTTGGGAGTTTTCTTTTTATTTTCTTTTCTTTTGTTTAATTCCTATTGGATTGCTTGTCATGCTGTTATCAAGCGTTATTTGAACAAATACAAATACAAACATTTAAGCACATTTACTTACAATAAGAAACATATCTGAAATTTCGAATCCTTGCCATATTTTTGTTTCTTTTGAATTATTCAACTTGTTTCTGCTTTACGGTGCAAATTTGTATCCTTTCCTCATAATTTATTTGTTGTACATATACAAATATAGATATATATTCATACATATATATATATATATATATGTGTGTGTGTATAAACAGATTTACGTACATAAAAATATATAATTATTTGTATAAAAAACTAATACATCTCTATTATTTATTATTATGTGTGTGTGTGATTGTGTGTGAAATTGTCTGAATTTATAGAAAAAGAAAAAAACATAATTTAACAATACATCAATAATTATAAAACATTTGAAATACACATAATTTGCTTATCAACACACACTCGCATGCAAAGAATATCAAAATGTTTTTGTTGCTTTTTATTGCGTTTAAACAAAATATTGCATAAAATATGTAAATTAACATATTTGTATATATGTTTGTGTCTGTGTGTCTGTGTGTGTGTGTGTTTTATCAAATAAATTAGCACAAAGTACAACAAACTCTTCAAATCGTTTTTATCGTGTGTGTGTGTGTGTCTGTGTGTGTGTGCCCAAGTATTAAAATTTGAATCTATGAAATCTTGAATTCTTTTTGTTGTTGTTGTTTTTTGTTTTTGTCTACTATGTAATGTTTTTACGTAGTATATTTAAGCGCTTAGAGAACTATTAGATTTGCATTTTGTATTGAACAGCGGCAATTGTCAATTAAATCTTATGAGTTGTGTGTAGCGGATCGTGTATTGTATAGACTTGAGTTTAGACTATATATTTTATATATATAGATATATATATATATAATGTTTGCTTCTTATTTTGTATTCTGTTTTAATGCCGTTCATTCTCTTGTCGTCACTTTAGCTTCTTCCTCTTGCTCTTCGTCTTCCTCTTCAACTTGTTCAAGTTTAGCTGCTCATTTGTTGCTGTTTAATGCCTCTCTCATAATATTAATATTTTATTTGTTGCTTTGTTTTCGTCGTTTTCATCATCGTTTTCCCACTTCCGTTTCTCTCCTCTCTCGCTCTCTCTCGGTTACACTGTCGTCCCCGCCTGCGCGTTGGTGATTGGTTTTTGTTGCTTAGGCCTCGCTCTTCTTTTTCTCCTTCTTCTTCTTCAAAAACGATGGTGTGCGCAGGCCCTTCTTCTTCTTCTTGTCTTTCTTGGGTGAACCGTCCGTGGACACATCCTGGAACCGTAATAGAAATTTGCAATGAGAATATCGTTTGCCTTTAAGTTAGTAAAACGGAGCAGCGAGATATGCTGTTAATTTAAGAGAGTTAAGAGAGTCGGAAGAGAGCCGCGTAAAAGTACCTGATCTGTACTAAATACTTCACCAGAAGCTATATGTGAAATACGGTAAGTCTAGCTATTAAATTTTAAGAGATTTCGAAATCGATTTTAATCAAGGCGAGTTATCGATAACCGGAAACAAACTCGTACTTTAATAGGTTCTGGCTAGATGGACTCGGCTATTGATGCTGACCAAGAATATATATACTCTATGTGGTCGGAGACGCTTCTTTCTGCCTGTTACATACATTTGCACAAAGCGATTATACAATTTTAAACCACCCATTTTTATATGTACCCAATTTGGATGCCATATGTTAAGCCTGACTATGTTATTAAGATCGGACTACAAATACCGATTTTATCCAAGAGTGAATTACCAATAATTCTTTCTAAGGGTAAAAGAAAGATTGTTTTTTACGGAAACACTCGCGTGTTTACAGGGTGTCTCCCAGTCGAGCACTGCCGACTAAAGCACTTTTGTTATGGAGATGGAAATCCATCTGTAGACAACTTACCTCTTTACTGCTCTGTGAGAAGGTGCTTAGATGCGCCTCCGAATGGTCGCCATTTTGTACGTTTTCACCTGTTGAGTGCAGAGAAGGAAGATCAAGAAATTAGAAATATTGGATGAATTATTTGGTCTGCCGTAGCCACCAGATGGATATATGTAACTCAATGGACGCACACAAAATCATATAGTATATGTATAATATATGTAATACTCTTCACCATTAAAGGACGCGTACAAAAATTAAGTTCTCCGAAAGAGAACCGAAAACATGTAGGATGTCAGTATATATGTGTGTATATGTATATGTATATGTATGTGTATGTGAATATGTATTTTGTGAGGTTTTAGTACAAATATGTTAGCTGAACAAACACAAGCATGCATACAATAATTAGCTTAAAAACAATTAACAAACAAATGAAAAGTGCAAAAAATGTTACCTGTTGTTGTTTTTTCTTTTTTTTTTGTAACTTACATGAAGTGCAATTTAGATATAATATAGAGAATAAAGCTTGCGCAGGACATTTATTATAGCTTGAAGAATCAAAGTATCTTAAGAATATATTGTGCTTAATTATAATACATGGCCAAAATTTTGTAGGTAAAGAAAAATAACAGAAAAGACAATTCAATGATGAACTTTTAAAATTATTAACAAAAAACAAATGTTCAAGTGCCAAGTTGAGTAATAGTTGGATCGATTAAAAGGAATGGACTGCCTAGATGGAGCCTACTTGGCCCGGGCTCGCCTCACCACGCCCTTAATATCGTCCCGCATCTGGGAGATGCGCGTGCGACAGTCATAGATGACGGCACGATTATGCAGCTCGTGAGCGCGTATGATGCTATTCAGCAGATGCTGCAGCTCGTGCTCCAGCGTGCTGAGCAGACGCTGCAGTGCCTCCGGCTCGGGATAGCTGTGCGAGGCGGACGTTGGCGTCGTTGGCGGCGCCAGTGGCGGGGGCGTATCGGAACCGGCCAGCGCCACATAGCTGTAGGTGTGGCAAAGCGCCGGCGCCGAGTTGCAGCGCTGCAACAGCGACGTGGAGGCGGTGGGCGAGGCAAGCGGGGCACGGGAGGGCTGCTCCGATGACTGCAAGAGATGTACGGTGCGCTGCTGCATCGCCAGCTGCTGCGATATATAGTGAATCTCGTCGTCGATGACCTTCTCCAGCTTGGAGCGGAACTCCTGCTCGTGTGCCTGCACGGACTGCACGCACTCCGTGTTGCGCAACGAGACATTGATCAGAATCTCGATCGAGGAGCTTTTCAGCTGAGATTCCGCCTCCGGTGAGCTGCTCAGTGTCAGCCTAATATGCTTGCCCTGACTGTACGCCTCCGCCTCCTGGGTGGAGGAGTCATTGCTGGTGGTGCAATGGCGCTCGCGTCTCCCAGCCCCGCTGCTATTTATGTTATTGCTGTTGCCGGTTAGTCCGCCTAATCCGCTGTCGTCGCCGTTCTGGTACATGGCCTGCTCAGCCTCCGGCTTGTCGGTCGCTATGCCGTCATCCTTGGGCAGCGCATGATTGTCCGGCAGAAAGCTGCGCAGCGTATAAGTGCTGGGATACATGCTGTCATCGTCGCGGTCCGGCTCCGGCTGGGCAATCATGTGCGGTTCGTGTATGCTCAGCATGGAGCTGAACTGCGCGGTCAGCTCGTCCAGCGAGTCGTCGGCGCTCTGCTGGCAACTGCTGCTGGTTGCCGCACTGTTATTGCGCTGCTTGCGCGACGGCGTCCGCTCCAGTTGTATCTGCATCTCGGAAACGTATGAGGGCGACGATGTCTCGGCTAACGCTGCGGCCGGACGCCTGCCGCTCGCGTTGAGCACATTAAGCATCCGGCGCTTGGCAAAGCTCAGATTGGCCAGGTCTATAAAGGAGACGACTCGCTCGCGCTGCTCGGACACCGTCTGCCAGATGCTCTGGTTGGCCGGATGCAGCGGGATGCTGGGCGCATTCGCCAGGGGACAGTTGAAGCCGTAGTGCGAGAAGGTGCGAAACGGTGCAGCTGTCGGATTCATTATGCTAGTATAGCTGCTGTCACCTGCCCATTGCCTGCTGCTGGCCTGCACAGGTGTGCTGCTGGCAGCCAGATTCACAGCGAAGCTCTCCTCCCCGCCGACCCCTGTCTGGGTGTTGTTCAAGGTGCCGTTGTGGCTGCTGCTCAGCAGCGGATAGTTGTGCCTATATGAGGCATCGATTTTGTATATTACATTAGCCTGGACGCACTGAAGCCGTGCAACACATGCGTCCAAGTAGCGCTGCACGGGCGCATAGAGAAAAGAGTATTTGTGTGCCAAATATGAGCACATTGCTGGGAGAAAGAGTAAACAGAGGGAGAGAGTGCGGGCGGCGCAGTTCGCAATGAGTGTGTGTGTGAGTGTGAGTGTGTGTGTGTGTGTGTGCGGGGTGTGTATACACGTAGACAGGGCACGACAAAGGGGAACATTCGAAGAATCAGATAGTGGGAGCTTAAACGTTAACATTATCTGTAAAGCTAACATTAACAGTGACAGCAACGGTAACATTAACAGCAACATTATTCTGTAATCTTCACATGTTCAATCAACTAGGATATAAAATCTTTAAATTTTTTACGAAAAAGGTAACATTCGAAGAATCAAATAGTGGGAGTTTAAACGTTAACATTATCTGTAAAACTAACATAGACAGGGCACGACAAAGAGGAACATTTGTGGGAGCTTAAACGTTAACATTATCCATAATACTAACATTAACGTTGACAGCAACGGTAACATTAACAGCAATATTAATATGTAATATTGACATGTTCTATCAACTAGAATATAATATCTTTCTCTTTTAATTACACATCGATTAATTATTTATTCACTTTTATTGTTCTTTTAAATAAAAATCATACAATCCACCATTGTTATTATTATTTTTGTATATGTTATTAAGTGTGAAAAAAAGATATGGGTGCAGTTCAAGCGCATGCCAAGTGTAAGTACAATAATAAAGTAAAATCAAGAAAAACGTATATTTTTAAAAAGTAGGTAGGGACTTTTAAAATGCCTGCTGACTTGGCACAGATGTGGCAAAGAGTCGAAAAGGCTTTTTAATGGAAAACTCAAATTCAAGCCAGACTTTTTGAAACTAATATTTTTACTCTTGCGAATGGGGCTGATCTGCTTTGGGCTCAGGCTGAGCCAAGTCGGTTCTGATTTCTTGTTCGAGGGCCACAGCTTGGTTTTTTTCATTTTGTGATATTTCTAGAGATTGCGACGAGTCGCTTCCAGGCACAAGTTCTGCTGGCTGCTCATCGCTCAGTTCCACAACAAAGGGGCCAAAGTCATAAACCCCATTTAGGGGCCATTCGATTTGGTGTGGATCACTTGCCGCATAGCCCGAGCTGCCACCAAAGAGCAAACGCGTGTCGAGTTCCAGTTCCAGCTGCCCATATTCATTAAAGCCGCCCACTGGCAGCTCGACCTCAATCGAGAACTCTTCAACATTCTGTGGACTCATATTGTCTGCTGTCATGGGACCTATTTCAGCAATTGGCTCAAACGTATCTGGCTGCAGTTCATTTCCTTCGGCCTCGTCCTCGTCCTCGTCCTCATCCTCTTCCACCTCTTCCTCGTCATCTTCTACCTCAAATAAATTCCAGCTGACGTTTTCGGCAAACGGCTGATAAAGCTTTGCTTTATTCACATCACCCACTTCGCCGCGTGGCGCTTGTATGTCGCCCAAGGACTCGTCGGTGACATGGAGTGTTCCATCTGTTAGCGTACATTGCGTATCTAATACAACAATTTCGTCCTCGTCCGTCTTTTTGGGTGCATTGTCTTTGCCGCCAGACTTGCGCTTCTTCTTGCTAGCTGCTGCCGAGGTGTTGGGTTTGTTATCATCCTCGGCGTCATCCTGTACAGATAGCTGTAAATCGTGATGCGTTTTTAGCAGACATTCTCCGTCAGTTGAACTGTCGGAGTCGTAGCACGTAAAGCTACGTTGAATATCCTTTGGCGGACTTAGATTAAAGTTGGCGCGGTTTGAGCTAAGCGAAAAGCCAGATGAGATGACATTTAAACGTCCGTTCGCATTGCCATCTCCTCCTTCCTCCTCCTCAGCACAGTCCGTCCATTTCTCCCCGTTATCCGTGGCATTGCCAGCAGGTTTGATATTTGACTCATTTGCACGAGCCTCTTTCTCCAAGGATCGTTCTGGCTCAGCTGTATCATCCGCATTGGGAACTGCTTGACTATTGAGATTCTTCACTTCTTCATTAACCGATTCTTGCTGATCATCAAATTCTTGAGATCCAGTTTTTGCAGAGTTCTCATCAGTCATCTGTTCTTCCATATCAGCAGAGTCGTCTTCATTCAGACTTTCTCCTCCATCCGGCAAGCTGCTTGTGGAAGTAACCTCCACACTGTCGAATCTATTGGAATTTCTATTCGCAACCGGGTCTTCAAAAGCTGCTGCCGAGGGCTCGTTTTCGCTTTCGCTTTCGTTGTCCGTGTCATTGGTGCCCGTCTCAACGTTTCCGGAGGAAAGATCCATAGTGTCCTCCGGCCTGCTGTCTGTCGTCGTCTGCGAAGGTTCTGTAAACTCATCCGTATTTCCGGTGTATCCTTCCGCCGCGGCGGCTTCGCTTACTTCACTCACCTGCGTTTGCGATTCCTCCTGGCTATCGGCAGTTGCAGCTTGACTTGTGTTTTCTGTTGTCTCACCGGCGGATAGTCGAGGCTGTAGTGCCTCATCACTTTCATCTCCTATCTCTTGCTCCGCGGACCTTTCGCCAGTATTTCTCTGACTGTCGAGGCAGATTTCCTGCACCTCGACAACCGTATTATCGTCGGCGCTGTAATACAAGGAGCTGCCGGTTGCATTGTTTTTGTTTTCGGGTGTCGATGCAATCTGCTTTGAAAGCGCTTCGTTCGGTTGGTCCTCCTCCGTGTTTGCCAACTCAAACGTGGTGCTGGAAAGGTTCTGCATCAAGGCATCGCCCTGCTGCGATCCAGCCGAATCTGTACAGTATGTACTACTCGATATGCTCTTATGCAAGATGGGCCGCAGGCTGCGATGCAGTTTGGGTGTCTGAGTTCCGATTGGTTTGCGCCGCTTGGCGTATGGCGTGGAGGGCGAGTGAATCAGTGGATAAAGCAGCTGATTTGGACTAACTGATCGGCGCTTCTGTCCGCTGATGCCACGTGGAGTCGTGGGCAGGGAGACCCACAGGCGAGCGCTACTGCTACGTTGCTCGGCCTGGAACGTGCACACGGACAGGGCATCGCTGGTCTTGGCCAGACCACGCCTTAACCTTAACCTTGCTGTTGAGTTTGTGGAGGACTTGGAGATTGCTCGGGGTTTGCCGGCATTGCGTATATTCTCCTGAATAAAGTTGCGCTTCTTGCGGGGACTGCTGCGGAACACAAACGTTGTCGAGGATATGGTGCGCTCCAGCGAGGGTCGCGCAGTCGGCGAAGATGACCTACTGCTATCCTGGTAACTGTCCCAGGAGCGTGACAAGCGTGGCGTCGTTGCCGTAATCAGATGAACATGCGCGGAGGAGCTGGCAGGTGCGTTAATATTGTGCATGGAGAAGGAGGATGGACGCGGCTCGCTGCTGAACTGGAAAAGATGGGGTGTATCGAGAGTGGGCGATGCTGTGGGTGGGCTTCTGTAGATGTGTGTGCATGTTTGAAAGGTTTCCTCTGCACCGGTGACCATACGCTGCAGCTTGCAGGGCGTTAGCTTGTTGCGTATACTCTCATCAATCCTGCCGAATATGGACTCCCGTTCCTTCAGCTTGTTCGCCTGGATCCGCTCAAGTATCTCGCGCTCCAATGGCGAGAACATGTCGTTGTCAGTGGAGGTGCATTCCCTGTTCGGAGTCGCCAGCTCAGCTCGAGTTGGCTGCTCCGCAGACGACGAAACTTCAGCTCGACAATCCGATTCCCCCATGTCTGTGGTGTATTCCTCATTCTCATCCACATCCTTTTCATCAATATGTCCGCACTCAACATGGTCTTTATGGTTTAAACTGGGCAAGGGTGTCACCGGTTTCTCAACATCTCGCTTTTCCTCGTGATCGATTTCGGCTTGAGGCTCATCTCCTTGCTCGGGAAATTCCTCATCTGTGCTAAAGTTTGGCGGTTGAAAGCGTTGCGGCTCGGAAACTGAAGCTGTATCGTCGGCATCGGCGATATTCTCCAAGCTGATGGCCCGAAAAAGCGAACCGCTCTCCATAGACTCGTCTGAGCCGGATTCATCTCGCACACCAACCACTTGCAGCTTTTTGGTAGTGGCCACCAGTTTTTCTAGATTCTGACCCGCTACGCAGAGACTTTGCTCGAACTCGTGCAATATTTTCGGTATCTCGGCGGCTGCCTGGTGTTGCACATCGCCACTGCAGGATTGGGACGACTGTCTGTCGCCAGAAGATGACTCCTGGTCAATGTACACTACATCTGCCTCGACTTTCTCCTGCAATTCCTCGCCATGAATTGGTTGCCTCAGCCAACCGTATGCCATTAAAGTCTGAGCCTCCCCTGCCTCCAGCGACATTGTCACCGTACGCTCCAGAGTTGCTGGGACTTCGTGTTCCATCTCTTCCTTGGCACCAAAGTACTGTACGTGATCCTGCCACAGCTCCTGGAACTCCAACTTGCGGCGCTGGCGCTCGTCACGCGTCATCAATTGTCGCTCAGCCTGCTGCTGGTCAAGCTCCTTCTGATCCGTATCCTGGCCCTCATTCTGCTCGCAATTGGCACCAAATTGCTGGGTAATCTCGAGAGTAATGCGGTGCTCAGTGAGCGGTTGCTGGGCTTGGCCGCTCTCGTCCTGCTGTGCTCCTTGCTCCTGCCAGTTGCCAAAATTCCACACCTCCGTAAGGTCTGTTCTGGTCTTTTCACGATCAGTTGGAATAAAGCCGCGTCGCATATCTGCAGAAGGTGGCGCACTCGTTGCACTGGCCGGCGGACTGGTCGTAATATCGCTGCTAAACGTTCGGATGCCAGGCACATAATTAACATTGGTGGACTCCTCCGAGAAGTTCAGACGTTCGATCTGTGCCAGAAAGTTGCTGCTCATTAGAATGGAGCTCGTTTGAGTGCTGACATGGCAGCGCACGCTTGTGAACAGCTGCTCCTCGAACTCCTCCTCGTCATGCAGCTCGGTCAGAGTAGCCAGCTTTCGGGGCGTGGCTGGGTAGCTGCCAGAGCCGCTAATCAGATCCTCTGGCTCCTCCCCGCTGCTGCTCGCAGCACTGCGGCGCTGCAGCTCCGGCTTGAGGCGCAGCAACTGCTCAAAGCAGAACTGGCACAGCTGCTCGTAGCGCGGTGTGGCGAAGATCTCCTCGTAGCTAATGACCCGCTGCATGGGCCGATAGCGGATGCACTCCGCACCGCCCGGCAAATGGCGATGTTCGGTGCGCGGCGGCTGTCGCGGCGAATTGAAGCCAAAGTGAGAGAGCGTGCGATAAGGAGGCGGCAGCCCATTGGCCAGCTGCAGCGGTCGGCGAGGCGTAGATGATTCGTTGGTGTTGTTGGTGCCCGTGCTGGAGGTAGCGCTCGAGCGATTACCGCTACCCCGATAGTAGGCCATGTTTTGCAGGTGTTCCGAGTGCAGGGCGTGCAACAGGACAGAACAAATCTGGGGCTGACAGCAGCGACCCAAAGGACCAGCCCCATACGCGTAGGAATAAAACTCTCCCGGAAGGACTTTTGACGGCGCGAGGGACTCGGGCTTCTGTGTCAAGTCAGCAACATTTTGGGCATGCAGACAGGGACTGGGACAAGAGTTTGGAGTAGAGTTGGGATTAGTAAAAGCAGAGAGCAAATCGCGACGACACTTGCTAGTCGAGGCAGGAACACTCTCGTTCTGAACGTGACCCTGATGATTCTGGTTCTCCTTGTCCAGCTCATCGTAGACTAAGTCGATCTTCCTTTCGTCGCTCGACGTCTGGACCGTGTCAGTACCAGTTTCTTGAATTAGCGTTTCTTTGCGGTTGATTTAATGGAGGGAAAATAACAAAGGAACATCAGTACGCTTGCCTAATAAATGATTTGACTAGCAAGACTTACTCTCGAGCGCACCTCAAGCATAAAGCCTGCAACTTGGGCGTTCGGAATCAACAAAATTCGCACCTCAAGATTGCGGCACTATGACTTGCTACTCGCCGATACGTTAAATACCTATGAGTATATAATATATATATACGTACATCGAATATTCCATACCTACATCGGTAATCAATGCCTAAATAAAAATATATGTATGTATCTCTATGAGGTTTAAGCCCAAAAACCGAGCAATATCATTGTGAGAACTATTATATAAATGAGATTGAGGAAATGCACTCCAAATGGTTTGTTTCGTGTTTTCTACTGACTAGGTTAGGTAGGTGCATACAAACATAGGTGATTTGGCTAGTTATTAACAACAATAATAATGGAATGGGGGTCATTAGTTTGAATATATGTTGTATATATATACATATGCAGCAGCACTTTGTACTGTCCAGGTACTTGAGTAAATATTAGGTACAATTGAGTACAATTGCAATTTGGGGTTAGGTCTGAGATAGTGAATACAACTTGTTCGTTACCTCGGCCAGTTGGTGGCTTGCGATTTGTTGCTGTATGAGAGCGTTCGCCGTTTATAAAACTAAGTGTAGCTAAAATAGTATTGAGAAATAAACGTACATAAATTCACATATTTGTGTGCTGTTGATAACATATTTGAGAGCATTAAATAAACCTATAAATGCATTAAAGTTCAAAAGACTTAAGCTTAAAAATATGTTTAATTATGTTAGTATCGAATCATGCTTTGTTGTGTTGTTAGCTGTCGTAGCAAGTTGAGGGTTTTTCTATTAGCTTTGAGAATTGAAATAGCAATAAACAGAAAACAGCTGCAGTTCTTAAGAAAAAAGAAAACCAACTAACTAATATATTTTTTGCGCGAAACAAAACAGGCTCAAAACACGTATGCGAAGCTAACAGCGCTCTGATTTTGGTTAAAATAATGTCCTATGTTAATTAGCAGAGCAGAGCTGCAAAGCAAACTGAATGCAAATGTTAATTAACAGAGCGGATGATTAGCAGACATGTATTAGTTCAATGAGAGTATGCAGAATACATGAATTTTGATTTTTTTTATCACTGGTCTACAAACTATGCACGAGTATTATTATTTTGGATTTTTTTTTGCTTTTTACTACACACTAGTCCTTAAGGGCTGCACTCACCTCTAACATAAAATGTATTTGTACTAAACTGCATTTGTATTTTGTTTTCGTTTATTTGAGAGTGTAGAGATTTAAAAGCACAGCAGCAGCAGCATTGCAATGCACACACACACATGTACAAAGTTTGTTTTTGATAGTAGAAAATGTAGTAGTAGTAGTAGTAGTAGTAGTACAAAGTAGTAGTAGTAGTATTTGTGTTTTGTTGAGCTTCGCTGTTGTTGTTTTGTTTGTTTTTTTTGTAACCTACACACATTCTAAAAACATTTGTATCTACATAACTTTAAAGAAAATTTGGTCGCCAGTTTATTTGCGCTTGTGCTTGGCTAGAGGGATTAATTTAGGAAAAATTTGGAATTACAATTAGCCAAATTGTAGTAAGAATTCTGTTCAAATAAAATGTGCACAATAAACAAATCAATTATACAAAGCAAAACTGCAGCTGTAGTGGAAAGAACTTGGGAAGGGAAAGAAGTTAAAAAACTTCCACATCTTGCAACTAGAAGTAGTTTGTTTTTATCGTTGTTGTTGCTATGATATTTTCTTAGTGTGTGGCGAAAGTAAAAATCATTTAATACACGCCGTACAACAGGTGAATCCTTAAATAGTAGTAGACAGAATAGTAGTAGATAGTAGCAGATAGACAGACAGAATTGTATTTGCACAGTTCGCGGTGTTGGGTTGAAAAGTATGTAACAGAAGAAACGTAATCAAAAAGAATTGGTATATATATTGTTTACAGGAAGGAGGTCGAAACCGTATCGAGAGCTACGAGTACTTTCTTTTTAACTTTCGATATTAATTGTTATGAAATTGTTGTATTTGTATTCGTGTGTTGTGTGTTGGTTGAAGTGGCGGAGTAGAGTCAAAAATAAAAGGAAAATAGCATAAGTAAAATTAAAGGTTAGCATATAATAATTTTTACATAAGATTAGTTTCAAATTATAAAATATTGTTTAATATGACAACAAAAATACTTGATTCAATTTCTACTTTAACCCTATAAAAATAATAAAAGAATATTCAATTAAACGACAAAAAAAAAATGCTGTTTACCTTTGAGGACTGACAAAATAACATAAGACAAAATGCATACAAATAATAAATCAAAGAAATAAGCTTAGAAAAAACTTGAACAAATTTCGTATCACAAATCGGAGGATTCTGTTTGAATGTATTGGAAGAGGGGGACATAACTGGATGAGTGTGTGTGTATAAATTCAATTAAGTGAACGTAGACATAAAACAATAGGGAGAAAACATAAACAATTGGGATTAGCTCTTCACTTACCATCACTCAGCACGACCTCAGCCTGGCTGGGAATGGGCGCCTGCTGCGTTTGAATCTGTATGACTTGGTGTTCTATCCGGCACAAATAGAGGAACTCAATGTTGGTCAAAGATTCTCAGAAGGGATTATAGTTTTAATTCTTACCCGTTTCTGGCTCACTCTGTGCGTGTTTTGCATGTGCATGTGCACCCGCCGCCTGCATCGAGTTGAGTGCCTCCGATTCCGAAAAGTCTGTGTCGGTATCTGTGGGCAAAGCGTATGTATTTTAAGCGTACGTTAAAGGATTTAGTATTTAGTGAGATCTTACATTCACCATGAATGCTCTTCTTTTTGCGCTCCACGGTACGTTTATATTCGTTGAGCTCATCGTCTGTCACATTGTCGAAGGGATTCTTGGCATAGGGCGCCTTATAGACTGTCGCATTATGTTGGAATCCGCGCTGTATGATGCCCTTGGAGGCGGCACCCATTAGCACCACATGGTCACCAGTTTGCGAGACAGTAGCATCTTTGATGCGATTTGCCTCATCCCAGGTAACGCCCTCCAGTATGTGCGATTGTGGGCCAGCGGAAATAAGGTCCGCGCGTCGATTGTCCTTGATCTATCAAATAATTAAATTAACATTTAGATTGATCTAAAGTTTGGCATTGGGCTTCTGTTACTGACTTGCTGTTGGACCCGCTTAAACTCCTTGGTTGTGGTTCCAGCTGGCACAAATTGCAACGGATCCTCGATTCGCACCGGCGTCGAATGGGTGGGCGAATCTTCGGCTACCCACTATTCATTTGGTTTTCAAGGGTATTACGTACGGGCATTTTAAAAAGGTCATTCAACGGAGATAAGCAATTGAAAAGGAAAGAGAAAGAAATTTGTTTTAATTTAGATTTCAGGTTTTGAAATGCAAGTGCTTAAATCTGATAAACTCTATTCATAAATACCCTACACAAAATATGTTAAGATTACATTTTAGTGATATGTTTCTTCGTTAGTTTCTTCAAAAACACATTTTACAATACAATATGAATGCTCCGTCGGATAATTGCACACAAATGCAAGCAAATGTTAATCATAGTTGAAACATGTTTTATTTAAATGCAAATTATAAATAAATGAAATACAAGCATAAATGACTTTGTGCCTTAAGAAATGTAAATAAACAATGAGGACAATTTACAAATAAACTTAAATCATGCAAAGAAAAAGAAATTTGTGTGTTCAATATGAACAAATTATAATAAAATGAAAGAGAAAATTATAAGACATGCGTGATCAATGGATAATTGAACGTTTTCTTAGTGTAATGAATTTACACAATCGGAATTGTTTTGATTTAGCATTATTTAAAATATAACAGCTAGCATTTAATACTTAGTAACAAATGTCTTTCTCTTTCTTTGCATTGTTTTTAAGGCAAATAAAAATGGGTATTTCCCTAAAAAGGCACAAAATCATCTATGAGATTTAGTTTTGTATTTCGTATATATTTATTTGATTAATGCACAATTACAATTTATAAAGCATTTCATATTATTTTGATTTAGCATTAGTTTCGTCGTAATAATATATTTTGTGGCGAATTTGCTGCATTTGGGTTACAAAATAAAGTATCTCCGTTTTGTTTCACTTTTAACTTATATTCTATTACTTAATATGCGTGAATTTAATGAAAGCATGTAGACAAGTTAAGAGGCAGAGCTAGTCAATGAGGGCTACAACAAATAGTTCTATGGCTGGCTAATTGGAATGTTTTGGTTTGAATCGAGTTGTGAAGAGTTTAGGGGATTGTTTAAAAAATTTCCCTATGTGTATTAGGAAACATATTTGCACGGATTAGTCAATGAACCTCAACTAATTTCCCTCGATTTCCTTGAGGTTAACAACTTTTTGTGTTTGCTGTTGTGTTGTTCGTTTATCTTCAAATGTTATGATCTCTACCTTTGTGATTTTCTTGGGATCTGGAGTGCCAGTTTCCAGTACCTCGACCTTCTGGTAAACATTGGGCGAGTTGAGCCAGCGACTGCGATCGCCGCCCTTGCGCAGATCACCCTTCTTCCAGATGCTGTGAAAAGTTTAATTATCAGAAAATTTCTTTTAAATTGTTATTGAATACGATTGCATACCCCTGTCTGAAGAGCTCCTCCTCCTCAAGCAGATAGCCTAATGAGGACACAGCTGGTGGCAGTTCTACATCGTTCTTAGGCTTTGGCGGATCCGATTTGATCAGCGGATGGCGGTAGATGTACCCAGTGCGATAACCGGCATTGTCGAGCATCCGCATGAGTGCTTCGAACTCCGCACCACCCACACGCCACTTGGGCGGATTACCTATTTTAGGCGTAGGTTCCTCTTTGCTGGAAGCGGCGCCATCCTCATCAGTTGTAATGGCGGCAAATTTCTTTTCCAAGTCCGCTGGTGGGCGACGCGACTGCTCATAGATAAGCTTGCGCGACTCCTCAGGTATGAGCACGAGGTTGTCAATGCCAACTGGCAGCAGCTTCAGCTGCGTTTCACACGCCTGCACAATGTGGCAGGCAGCAAAGAACGTCTCCTCGATGGTCTCGCCGCAGCACAAGGCGCCGTGGTTGGCCAGCAGAATAACCTTAGAGTTGGGACCCAGGTTGCGGACCAAACGGTTGCGCTCATCCTCGTCAAACAAACCGGTGTAAGCGTGTGTGCTAATCTCGCCCAACACGCAGGCATCCTTGGTGAGGGCCAGCAGGCCTGTCTTCAGCGAGGAGATGGCCACCACGGGACTGCAGCCAATATAGATGGCGCAACGGATGTCGGGACGCGCTGCATGAACCACCGAATGCAAGACAAAGTCTGTAAGGTAATAAAGCAATAAGTAAATAATTTTCTCATTTTTCCATTATTCTGTTCACTTACGGCTCTTGTTCACCCCAAAGTTGGTGGTGCCCTGTTCGACAATGTGGCCCTGCATGTCGACTTTGTTGAGGGAAGAGGCGGTGACCTCATGGTACAATAGTCCATACGGATTGACCAAAAAGTACTCCTGATCGACCTTTAGGCGGGCCGTGATCTGTGCTCCCAGACCCTGTGTCCAGCCGTTCAGGTCTAGTAGCCGGAATGTGGCAGCAAGTTTGCACCTGAGTATCTTCTCGCCCTTGGCATAGCCCAACGATTCCACGCCGCGTATATCGTTGATGGGCACCATGCAACTGCTGCTCTTAAAGACATTGCTTACTCGGTTAACGGGCACGCCCACAATATCAGACAATTGCTGCAATATGCCACTGGCACCTGCGCCGCCCTCGCGTGCCGAATCCACAATGCGCTCCAGTTCCTCACGGAACAGCTTCGATCCCATGATGGCCTCGACACGCTTGCGTCGCTCCATTTCCCGCATGTCCTGCAAATAGGATATCGTTGAAATTTTATTTTTATTTTTGTATGTTCAACTGCTGCATACCTGTTCAATGTCCGCGGGACGTGCTTTACTGTTCTCATCTTCCTCACCCGCGGTTGGATCTATGCCGTTTTGTGGCGGTTGCTCTACCTCAGTCATGTTTCAGTTTATTTTTTATATTTTAGTTCAAATGCTATAAATACACAAAGTATGCAAGGCATACAAAAATATACAATTAGTTATTTTTTATCTAAATAAACAAAAAATTGGTTTATATATTCTTAATATGTATTTGCCAACTGAAAATTTTCAACTGACCTTAAAAAGTGCAGGCCAAAACTTTTGGTTTCCGTTATGAAAAGGGGGTGGCGTGCCAACAGCAAAGGAGTGGGAAAGAGCGAGAGACAGAGAGAGAGAGAACGGCAGAAAGCACTTGTGACGCCTGCATAAAACTGCAAGGCGAGGCGCAAATGAACCACCCAACATTTATTAAACAACCACAGCGAGAGAGAGAGAGAGAAACTTGAGAGCGCAGAGCGTGAGAGCAAAGGGGAAATACGTATGTATGTGTGTACAAATGCCTGCATGCGCTGTGAATGGCAAAAACAAAAAGCACTTGAGACAAAGTTCCGAGAGCCGGTCGGCTTTTCCATTTCGTTTTCTTTATATGATTATATGTATATATTTTACAACTAGACAAAAAATTCTTATTGTGGGTGAAAATAAATTTCGGCTGCTTGACAGTTGCAAAGTAAAATTATTAGGAAAATATGTTGCCTTTTTTCATTGGGGTTTAGAGCGCAGCGGAGCGAGCTGTTGCCCACGAGAGTGTGAAAATAAACGTGCGGCAACAGATATGGAAAAACTATTTTAAGATCATTTGCTTTTATTTAGATATGCATGTATTTGGCTTTTAACGAATTTAAATTGATGCCTAAAAACAAAATGAAGAAAGTGGCATTAAAACATATGTATGTATATATACACACACACGCATATCCACACAGACAAAACACAAATAAATGACAGACAGACCGCATCTCAAGCGTAAAGACGGGCGAGTGCAGCGACGTCGACGCCGCTGCGCCACTTAAAACAAATAAACAACTATAGAGAAAAAATGCGTTGCTCGTTTAATTTTAGGCGTGGTGGTTTGAATGGTATTAACCTTCAATTTGGATTCCGTTGTCTCCTCTTCTTTGAATGTGCGTGCAAAACGCAGGCTTTTTGTACATGAAAGCATAATTTCAATCTATTATAATGATTATAAATAATGTACGTACAATAATGCGGTTAACAAAATAAATTATAGCGTAAATTTGCAGTTTTCGAAAAAACCATAAATATGTCGACAATCAAGAGAGTTAATCAAACAATAAATATACAAATATCAACGATTCGTAGCACACATGAAAGCATATTTCGGTAATTTAAGGAAGAGGCCACAATGAGTACGCGACAAATGAAGCTTTTGCAACACTGTAAAACAACAGTTGCACAGTGCAAAAGAAAGTGTGCCGCCTACATATGTATCTACATCGGCTGCTTTGAACTTAGCTTATTTGTATTATTATTATTATGGGGAAACGAGCAAAAAAAAAAAAAAAGAAAGAACCCGTTGCTCATTGTTATTATTGGCTTGACAATTGCACATCGAGCATGCAAATGTGCATATTTAAAGTGCATTTAAGTGCTGTTGTTTTTTTTTTTTGTGCTGTCTTTGCTAATTACGACGAATGTGTGTGTGTGTGTGTGTGTGCTGCTTATGGCTGAGTGAACGTGTGCCGCACATTTTGATTGACAGCCTTAAACGAGAAGGAGCAACAACAACAACAACGTCAGCAACGTTGCCAGGTAATTGAACCTTTGCTCTGTGCGTGGGCGACGACAGAGAACTTTGGATCAAATCAAAGAGAATAATTTTCGAAAATAAACGTTTTTCAAGTGCCCAGTTTGAGTGGGCAGCGAGCAATAAACTTAACGAGCCATCGCTAACGCGTAGGAGTTGCGCATCTACCAGTGTTGCCCTACAGAGTTCATATTCTGTGTAGGTGTTACGGCTGTTGTAGGTGTTGCTGTAGGCCTGCCTGTCTGTTGATTAAGGCGAATCTGCAGCGGCCCACAAATGCATCCTCCGTTGTTCTGTGTAGAGTCACTACTGAACATGTTTTGTTGTTATGGTCACACTGGTTCTCATTTATAGCCAATAGTGCCAGGTCATCAACAAATTAAAAGTGTAACGATAGTTTTTACAATTCGCGAACAAGCAGCTCGGTTTATTGACCTTTTGCCAATGCCAGCGCCGTTGCATGCAATGTCTAATCGGATTTCAATGGCCCGCAAAGACAAACACAAACACACACACACACACACACACACACACAAATCTAATTAACTTATCATGTGATGCGACAAAGTGAGGTAATAGAGCGCCGGTGTCGGTGCCTGTGTTAAAGTAAGAACGATGACAATTGCCGCGACTCGCGAGGCAAGCTCCGTCTTTGGGTTGACCTTTTTGCACGGAAACATCAATTCAATTTAGGCGAGGCTGACGCCAACATTTCTGTCGGCTGTTGACATTATGCAATTACATCACACACGAGACACGCCCATTATTTAAATGCTGTAGAGTTGCGCTGATATTGGGTGTGAATATTGCGTGTGACAAATTAACCATGTCATACACCTTGCCCCAACAGAACAGAATGTTGACAACAAGAGTTGTACGATAACCTTTCAATATGTAAACCCGACATGAACAAGGCATGAATGTAACTATAAAAGTTTTACTAACTTTGACTAAATAAACATATGTAATCCAAATAATTTAATTGATTAATTGAATAGTTCGAGTTCCCGATGAGAACCTTAAGGCAAAGTGTATCAGGAATCAGCTCGAACCGCAAACAGAACCTCAAACAGCTGCTTTCATGTAAACGCGTTTACATTTCAGCAAGTGCTAAATTATGCTCTTAATCCATTTATTTTGTTAATTATCATATGCACACACACTTGAGGGCGGCCAATTAACCCCAAAGCAGACACCCTCTATTTAATTTTTACACTTGCGCTGGCGTTAATTAAATTGCTCAAGTATTCAGTTATCGTTACTGGAGAAATCTTACGTAATATTTCTGAAAAGCAGAGCACAAAAGCAGCAATAAGGTCATCATCATCTCAAACATCATCAATGAATCCATTCAGCGTTCATAATGCAACAAGTCACTCAGTCAGTGGGGCAGTCAACGCCGCTGAGAGATCGTTCAGTTTTCTGGAGCAAATATGTCCAAGTACTCGACAAACAACAAATAACAATAATAAATAGACACATAAATAAAAAAAAAAGTGCAATAAACTGTACGAGCTGTGCGTCAAGTGTAAATAATCATCATTTGTAGCTGTCAGTGATTATCATTGCAAAGCGAACAAAAACATGAAATATTGTGCATTCATTCATTTTACTGTAATGCAAATAAGTCTAAGCTTTGGATTAAGTTGATTTAGTTGATGGGGCACCAATTGATATGGATAGAAATCAAAATTAGCTAGCCCTAGCAGCACTCAAATAATTCCTAACTAACAAGAATAGAAGGTTGTCGCAGGAATGTTAATTTATCTAAATATATAATACCCTCGCGAGCATCATAAACAAAAACTAATCCAATAGTTTACTTGAGTTCAACATCACATCGAGTGTTCAGTTGACAGATTTATTTTCTAAATATGAAGAACAACATATATAAAATTTAAAATTACATGGGTAATCTAGTTGCCTTATAGATTGTAACTGTTTTGTGGGAAAGAGCAGATTCAAATTTAAAATTTAAAAATATATAAAAATGTAATTGAACAAAATGAAATTATAACCATAATTCGTTTTAATTTAATTGCCCTCTACAAATTCTTTTTACAGGTTACAAAGGCGTAATGTATATACTCAAAAGTAAAACCTAGGCGGATCGGAACTGCCTTAAAGTCTATAACAGAATGTTGTATAACTCTGACGCTGCTCTCCATTTAATAGACGAGCAACGTAAAAAAATATACATCCAGTTTTATATACGAAACATTGTCGGCAAAAATCGCAGATGTATTTTCGCAAAATTTGCAGTAGAGCGTTTCGGTAAATAAACGTAAAATTAATTAAGTTGAATGGCAATTGATTTTCAAGCAGCCGCCCAATACAAATTTTTACTAGTTGCGTTGAGCGAGAGTGTAATATATAGTCATATACCCAAGATAAAGCCTAGGCGGATTTTAACCGCCTAAACTAAATTCTGTTTAAAATCAGTAACATAATGTTGTATAACTCTGACGCTGCTCTCCATTTAATAGACGAGCAACGTAAAAAAATATACATCCAATTTTATTTACGAAACATTGTCAGCAAAAATTGCAATTGTATTTTCACAAAATTTGCAGTAGAGCGTTTCGTTAAATAATAAACGTACTATTAATAAGCTCTTTTATTTAATTAAATATTTATATCCTTTTATTTAATTAAATATTTATATCCTAACTAATCTCATATTGTTAAAAAATATCACTACTAAGATACATTCAGCCAGAATTACAACTTAAAACATTACATACAAAAAATAAATTATTAAAACAAAATGTAAATGAAACATAATTCATATAAATTTTAATTTTTATTTTTTTAATTCGATCTCGTTTGTCAATTATTCCTGTTTCGTAATCGAAATAATTAAAAACACTGCATCTAAATATGTGTATGTGATAAATATAATCAAATAATCGAAAACCAATGTGAACAATGTTGTTGCAAGGCATATAACATTCTTTAGACAAGATGCCTTCACAAGCAGTCGTGGCCGAGTGGTTAAGGCGTCTGACTCGAAATCAGATTCCCTCTGGGAGCGTAGGTTCGAATCCTACCGGCTGCGAAAGATTGATTCTTTATTTTTATGTTTTCTACAGAAAACAAATTTCAAAAACATTTTACACAATGAACCGACAACATAAAGTATAAATACAAAATTTTTTATTTTGCATTTACCTTACAAATTTCTTTGCTTACACAATTTGCACAAAGCAACTGCTTGGTTTTAAGACCTGCATGATTCAACTGTTTCCGTGGTGTAGCGGTTATCACATCTGCCTAACACGCAGAAGGCCCCCGGTTCGATCCCGGGCGGAAACATGTCGAATTTTTTGTTTTTTGAAACAGTATAACTTGCATAACTGCCTCACCTTGATATACAATTAAATAACTTTTTCTTTTTAATAAAAGTATCCCGTAACCATTTTATTGTAAATTTAATTTTTCTTAGTTTATTCCGATTTTTTAGTATTTCAATGGAATCAAACCTTTCGTTTTAGGTGTCAAAAAGTGACGTGCTAAAAATAATAACTGCAGTCAAACTGAAGAAGAAAAGTGTAAAACTGCACTTAACTTTAATTCAACAAAGTTAATGTTTTTCATTGAAACTAGAATTTGCATCCAAAAATTAACAAATTGGACGGCTATATTTAATGTGCAGTTAATTTTTAAGGCAGTTAAGCATACAATACTGTGTTTAAAAAATAACTTGTTACAAGTTGTAATTGTTATATGGATTTAATTGACACTTCGAAATGCAATTAAATCATTGAATAGATTTAATTTCTTAATTAAGAAGGATACCACAATTAATTCGACTGCAATATGTTAACATGTCAAAAAAATTCTTCTAAATTTTAAAAATTAAAATATAAATTTGTTTATGTTAACAAAATATATTGGTCCAATTTTCATGCTAAAATACATGTATCGCATTTGGCTGGCGGACTTTCAACTGTTTCCGTGGTGTAGCGGTTATCACATCTGCCTAACACGCAGAAGGCCCCCGGTTCGATCCCGGGCGGAAACATGTCAAATTTTTTATTTTTTCAATAAAATTAATGCAACTTACTTTTTGCTACTTTTTACTACTCAAAGCTGTTTATGCGGAAGTCTATCGAGTGTAAAATACAAGACGAACTTTATGACTTCAGTTGTGGCCGTGCTAGGAATTATTAATGGCAAGTTTTTAGCGGATTTGTTATTTTACAGTATTTTACTGTCTGCTCTATATTCACAGCACAACTTGTTAATTTTGTTTGTTTTGCTAAATAGCTGTCTCTTTCATTGTCCTCCGCTCTTGGAAGAGTCGCGTGCAAGTCGCGTGGCTTGAATTACAATATAAAAATCCCACAGAAGTCTGTCCTGAAGAAGTTGGCGCCGTTGCATGACGCCAAAGATTACCCGAGCTCTGACAAATGGAATGATTTAAGTGAAATATGTATATATAAGACAGGCATGAGAGCCAGACAAGTGGACAGACAACAACACAATTGGCGTGAGTCTGACTACAAACAATTCACTTCACTGTTCACTGTTTACATGGATGCTCGTTTGCTTGCTTTATAATTGTTTATTTTTTATACTCGTCCGCAAAGTGAAGAGTATATTGATATTGTAAAATGTCCGCATTTCTTTCTATCTTTCAAAGTTTTCGAAAAGGAGGATATGTATTTAACAGTCAGAAGCACATAAAGTATATATATTCTTGATCAGGACGACGAGCTGAGTCAGTTTGTCGGACTGTGTGAACGCTATATATTCTCTCTTCCCATTTCTCTCAAAACAAAGAAACATCGAAGATCGGACTATAAACACCGAAACCATTCAAAACTGCATTACATAGTTTGGGGCAAACAAAATAGGAAGCAAGGCAAGTGAAGATGTAGATATAGCTGGAAGCAAGAATGGTTGCATCGGCAACTTGGCGACGCGTTCAGGGTATCTCGTAATCGAGCATCCCCGACTAGAAGACTCGTGTTGCCCATTGTTGCCCCTCGCCGGCCAAGACCCACATGATTTCTCAATGGACACATGCAACGGCTGTTGAATGTTGTATGTTGTCACCACCCCGACTACGAATCTTGACTCACTTGGAAAACAGCCAATAAATAAATATACAAATGTATCTATACATGAGTATACATAATTATATATGAATATTATAAATGCACTCGTGTGCGTATTGCCCAATTGACAAATTTACAGAGTGCTTTTTCCGGGCTGCTGCTTTATATAAAAACAAACGGAAAAAATAATCAAATCAATAACTTTGTCGATTTTATTCAAAATTACTTGAGATATTGGATTTCTTGAAGTCACATTCTAATTATATACACAAGAAGACAAATATGAATCAAAGTGAGAAATCGATAATATGAATATCAAATACATTCGATTTCATAGAATGTACAAATATAGTATAATATATAGAAGTTGCAGTAAACTAGTTTTAATGGACATAAAAACGGTAAGAAAATGCCAGAAAATGTTAATTGTTTATTGATAAAACAAACAGTTCGTTTTCAATCATAGTAAAAACTATTATATCTGACTGCTGCCATAAAACAAAAGCCTGCGCACCTGCATTGAGGGTCCATTAAAGTTCCATTTAGGCCTGCAAATATTCACCTGGCCGTTGTCTAATTACCGCCGTTAAGGACATGCGCCGAGTTCCGGCTAACCTTCTTGCCCATTGATTATCTGGCTTTATAACTAGCTGAAAACACGCATTGCCATTGACACATGTGTGTCGATGTTGACGGCAATCGCGTGTTGCCTGGCACCGACGCAAGTTCAACGACACGGGCCCGGCCCGGCCCGGCCCAGGGGCAATTGAGTGGGAACGCAGCAAACAACCCCCAAGTAAACAACCCTATGACCCCCCTCCCCACCCCTCCACGTGCAGCTCCTTGTGCGAAATACCTGCCACACCCGCCCACTGTTGAAGTGTGTGTGTGTGTGTGTCCTCCTATTTGTTTTTGCCGGCATTCGTCAGAATTGTTCGCCGGCTGCCATTATGAAATTTGTTGCCGGCGCCAAACGCCAAATCATAGAAATGTGGCGCCAGTTTTTCACTGAGCGACAGAGGGAGGGGGGGAGTGCGCGGGGAAACACACGCGACTCGTAAAAATATCCTTGAGGGGTATTGGGTTGCGTTCTGACTTAATGACAGGAAGTGACGTCAGCGCTCTGGAGGGTAAAATTTTTATTTGCCGCTTTAAGTGCTAGTGTTTTATTTTGTTTTTTCTGGGGGTGTGTGTGTGTGAGCAGAGGGTGGGGTGGTTGTGGGCCATGCTGTAAAGCATGATGTCATACTTTAGAAATATGTATTAGGGGTCATTGACAGATCGCATGCTAAGCAGTACGAGAAGCCGTACAAAGTTGTACACCCAATATTATTGTTAACAAAGTTCCTTAAATTCATTTAGTATACTTCTGCTTAATAAAGAGATGTAAATAATAAATAACTCAGCTTTCTCCAGTAAACTCAACCATGCCTTTAAAATATGAAAAAAACGGTCTTGTAATAAAATGTAACAGGATTAGAGCACAACTTTTATTACTGCCAAGAGGAAAAACCATAATGGCAATGTATGATAATAATATCAAACAGAACCAGCAAAGTTTGTCTGGTTCAATGACCCATTTATTCAGCTGCTTGGCCTGGATGGACTTGGGCCAAATGCGCACAAGCGAGTCAACTTTCAAGTTGAACGAGAACGAGAAGAAAAAAAAAACAAATACTTCATCAGCGTCTTTGTAGTTTCTCCATCTCTGTTTCATCTTTGCCCAGTCGTGGCATATAGCAATTCACATGGTAATTGAATAAATTGGATTTTATTTCTGATTAAAAACAATGATGGTTTAATACAATATCAAGCAGAAATAAAGAGTATAATTCAAGAAAAACCCGGTTTGAAAATAACATAGTTCTTTGAACAAGGGTGAAAAGTATTTTTGAACCAAATTGAATGAAAATTCCATCAATCATATTTTTGTTTAAAAACGCAATTATCTTCCTTGGTAGTTTCCAATTTTACTTGGTTCCAACTGTGAGTCGAACCACCGACATTTAACTTGGGTTTGTTGCACTTTCTTCACTCATTCTGTGATAGAACAAGTTTAAGCTTTGCCAAAATTTAGGCTAGTATTATCCTATTTGTTTTACCTTGCTGTTTATAAGACTGAGAGAGTCTGAAAGGTCAAGCCTAATTGAATTAAATACTTTGCAACCAATGAAAGTGAAATGAATTCCGAAAAACAAATACTACACGACTACTACTACTACTTGAATAAATTATAAATGTTTGTAAATAGATATTTGCAAAGAACAACAATAGTGAAAATGAAAAAAAAAAAACTTGTTTTGACTGAGTGACATCATTTGCTGTCTACCGCAACTGATTATGATTTAAAAGTAGAAGATGGAGAGTAAAAACTTGGAGTCATTTCCACTCAAGCAAGAAATAAACCTCGGATGACACATATCACTTAATTCTGGCAAACACGACTTAATTATAGCAATTATGGCGTAAGTTCGAAGCTCAAAAAAGCTTCAAAATTGAGAGCGCAGCTTAAGGTGTGGTAATAAATGATCTGCTCTCTCTCTCTCTCTCTCTCTTTTCTCACACTTCTCCCTTTCCCAGTTTTCGTATTTATCATGTGATGCAAGACAAATGTCAACAAAAACGTAAGTAAGACAGAATGTAATCAAGCAAATGAGAGTGAGAGAGCGAGTGGAGAGTGATGGCACATCATTCACAATAATCATAGCATATTTTGAAATGTAAACGTTGCCCGCAGATAAACATGAAGTCAAGTTGTCGTTGCTTCTTCTTCTTCTTGGAACGTTTGTTTACTTTCCACTTGACTTACAGTTATCGATTGGAAGGGCGTCTACGACTATGGCAAAAAAAAAACTCACCTTAAAACCGAAATTGTTGCGCGTTTAATACTTTTCAGTGTGTTTTGTGATTTCTTTTCGCCTGCAAATGTATAGAGAAAACACAAAATAAATAAGAGAGCACAGGCAAAAAAAAAAAAAAAAACGATTTCAGCATGTAATTTACAAAAGTTCAATGGGCCGACAAATATTCCAACATTTTTATGGCCCTTGTCCCAACAGACTCTGACCACAAAATGCATTTTCGTATTTCTATATTCATTTTCCATCCAGCGCATTTTCAAACATAAAAAATGTCTAGGCAAAAAGTAAAATAGAAAATTATTGATGCCGGCCGCGCTGCGCTGTTGCGCCGCTGTCGTCCGCAACGACGTCGAATGATGTCATGCGAATATTTTTAGCTAGCGCGCGTTCAAATATATTTGTATTACTGCCCGTTTTATGTGTGTGTACACACTTGCGCTCGGTGAGGGGGCGTGTGCGAGCGCCAGAGCACGATTACGGCAAACAAACTAATTGAAACACTCGACGCTGTCAGGCTGGCAGGCGGCGTATACAGCAATTCGGCCGTTTTTACAGGTGCCTTTATTGCATTATATCCGGCATATAACAAAAAAATCAGTATAATTTCATAGTACACTTTCTACGTATTTGCATATTGATTACAAACATAATGAGCCGATTATTTGTAGGATAGTTTATAGAAATGTTTGGGTTAACTATGCAATGCAATTTGAATACACTTTTTTTATAATAATCTTTATCATGATAACGCTTTGAAAGCTCCGATAATTTCATCATTTTAGATTAAGGAAATAACTATAATTTTGATCAATTTTAAGCTTATCACATCTTATCACGATCCCAACCATTAGTCATATCACACGTTTTTTTTCTGAGTAGATTATGGCACACTACGACTTGAGGACTGAATTAGGTGCAGAAATTAAAAAAGCTCTAAATAATCATTTCTATTAGATTTAATTCAAATTTGCTTCAAATTTTATATTTAATTATTTTTTTTGAGTGTAGCAGATCAAACGAAATTTTTGGCAGTGTTCGTTTCCGATTAGCAACGCATTCGATGTGGACACACTTCTCGCCATTTGCGCAAATAAAATCGCGCAACGCCACATAAACGGGCGGAGGAACAGAAATTTTATGTATAATTTATATAATAATAATAATAATGCGTGTGTTGCATGCAACGCAGCTGCTACTGGTGTTAATTTACAATTTAATTTCGAGTCTCGCAGCTAAATAATGCCTGCGGTCGGAACATGCAAACTATTATTCACAGTAGCCGCCCGACGCCGACGCCGACGTCGAAGTCGACGCCGACGTCAAAATGTCTGCCTCGAGAAGACTGAAGACTCGTTGGTTTGGTTTTGGTTTTGGTTTCGGTTATGGTCTTTGCGAGGAAGATATTAAAGTTATTATGTAAGCCCCATCGGAGTCGCGTTTTAGCTTTCGTGTGCCTCACTTTTTGCTGAATACATTAATCTATGCTGCAATATGTTTTTGGCTAAGACTTGCGGCCGGCCACTGTCTATTGTTATTTGTTTTTTGTGTTTGGATTGACTTTTATTAAGCCGTCGCTAGCAGCTCTTTTGTTGAATTGCTTTTGGCCCAAAGCTGAATTGTATAAAAATGATATTTTTTGTCAGTTTCTGCTTTAATAAAAATATGCATAACTGACCTTTGTACAACAACTAAGCCCCAAACCAGTCGACGAACCGGTTCAAATCGGGTTTTTTTTTCTATGACCCGAACAAAACCCGTGCCGAAAACAACTTTGTTTATGAAAAATAAAGTTGGATTTAATAGAAAGAAGAAAAAAAAACATTTGGAACAGTTACAAATGTGATTAATTCAATTAAATTATTGAATAACATTTAATTTTAATGACGTCGAGTTTTTATTTTTTGATAGTTTTTGAGTACCTTGAGCAAAGGGAGCTTTGTCGAGTTAAGGCTTCCAAAATAATGGAAAGTTGAACTGGCTTGCGACAGCATTAAGAAAAATGCCAAAATCTGCAACTATTTTAAAGCGATTATTTTTAGAAAAATAAGAATAATGTAGCTTTATATTAAAATAATGCCAAAACGGGAAGTCGTTTTGCTCATCGTGGTAAAACGATTTAAAAGAGAATATGTCAAACCGCGAGTTAGTTGTTCATATATTTGTGCATTTTACAACACTAACGATTGTTAAAGCAGAGCCACACAATGTGTGATGATCACATAATATTGTGTTTACTTTCAAATTACATTAATCGCAAGCAAATTGCTACAATTACCGACATTTTCCCACGCCCACACAGAACTAATGAAACGAAATTAACCCAAATAACCCAATAGAAATTTGGTTCATTCAGAGAAGACAAAAGAAGATAATAACATTCTTATACCTTGAATTCAAGACAGTTTCAATTGCTGAGGCCCCGGCAGAAGCCGAGATGCAACAACACAACAAGCACGGCAACAACAACAACACACTTGCATCTTTGTTTTTTTTTAAGCTTTTTTGTGGCAATTGTGTACGTTTTTGTTCTTGCCACTCTGCCTACTCTCTTCTCTCTCCCCCTATCTCTCTCTCTCTCGCTCCACACACCACTTGGGTATGTATAATTAACAGCATTGTTGTCGTGCCTGAGCTTCTGCAGGCGTTGCTGCTGCGTCCGTCTGTCTGTCTCTTTGTCAGTTTGTCTGCCCGTCTGTTTGTTTGTTTGTCTGTCTGTCTGTCTGTCTGTGTTGTCGTCTGTCCCCTCATATTGGGCTTTGCTTCGCTTGAGCCTTCTTGATTTTTCTTACAAGATTTATGGTAAAGCTGCAGCAGAGTTTGTTGTTGTTGTTTTTGTTTTTGTGCAACTGCAACTGTACATTTGTCCGTTGTCTCTGTGTTGTTACTGTAGCTGCTATTATTGATGAGCTGCAGTTGTTTAGCCAGCAGCAGCATCTCTTTTTAATCTTACTTATGTAGGTTTAGTTGTCTGTGTCTGTTCGTTAGTGTGTGTGTGTGTGTGTGTGTGTGTTTGTATATGTTTGTTTGAAGCTTGGCACGTACGCTGCTTTATTTATGCATTTCTCTCCCTCTCTTTCCATCTCTTTCTTTTGCAATGTGTCTGAATGACGCGGCTTGTCAATTGCCTAAGGCAAAGACGAGTTTGCTTCTCTTTTATGCTTTCTTCTTTGCTTTGCTTTTTAGATAGATTGCCTGGTGTTAGGGAGGGCGGCAACGGCGTTGCCAGACCGTGATTGTAGCGAACGAAGGTTCAATTAATCAAAACGAACGTCACAATTATGCACTTAATCTCCAAATATTTTATATCAATTAATCACTGCCTGAAACTGACGTCAGTCAATGGGAAATTAGATAAGCAGCACGCCTGAGTAAACAATTTCCAGTTGCATCAGAGTGCAGCTAATGCATTTGTGCATTGTTAAAGACAAAAGACAAAGATCAGTTTTATATATTTTGATTGCATCGTATTTCTTATCAAGTGAGTCATGCTCAATTACATATTGTTGTTTATATATATATAAATATATATACATCCAGAGTCTATTCTACTTCCGTCACATGCAAAGACGACAACAAAAAATCAAAACTAATGTATGTATCTCATTCAAACATTTGTTGTCGCTAGGTTTTCTAGGTTGCCTAACAATTGTTTACAGTTTTAACTATGCACTTCCTCCCACAAACATACACACACACATAGACGTATCTCTTTCTCTTTCCTTCATTCATTCAACACATTGATTTGTCAACTTGAACTAACTGTAGTAGCGAAATATGACAATGTATTTTTTTTTGTCGTTTGCTTTCGAGTGCTATTCTCTCACCCACCCAAAAGCGTCACGAGTGGCTTTTGTTTCCACCTGTTGACGAAAATTGTTGCAGTACATTTCATAGTCTCTTTATAAACCAGCTATTCAACAACTGATTCACTTTTTGCGACTGCAGTTCACTTTAAAAGAGGGGAGCAACAAATTTATAAACATAAATATACACAATATTCGAGGCAGAGAATTGAAATAAATTATAAAGCTCATCAAGTGAGCTTGTGTGCGTGTGTGTGTGTGCGCGTTTGTGTGTGTATTTATGTATGAATAGGAAGCGCAAATTCGAATTAGCAACAAAAGGCAGCAAATTTCATTAGAGAATGCGCACTATGACGTCATAGCAAACTTTAATACCTGACTTTTATCATGCGATTGAGCGCTACACAAAAAAATCGTTTGATTAAATTTATTATATCACTTTGATAGGGCCGGTAACAAGGCAAAAGAATCCAACCTCTCTTTCTCTCTCTCTCTCTTTCTCCCTCACTTTCTATCCCTCCGATTACTTGCTAAATGAAGGCAGTAATAATATGGCATGGTCGCCATAAGACTAGAAATTAGGTCAACTTACCGTCGAAAGAGCAAAAAACTTGTAAATTCAATTATAAATGTTTTCGACTCGCATCTAACTAGATAACTTAACGAAACGCAAGTTCCGATTAGATTGTGGAAACAGTGTAGAAAAGAGTATAAGACTAGAACGGGTGTAAATTATTTGGCTACACTGGTTAAACACAGCTGTTTTATCGGTTAACCGATAACCGATTGAGTCGATTATGGTAGCCAAAGCATAACGGGCTTCTAAACTTAACTAGCACACGACACGCCGCGTCTCTCGCCTGGTATTAACCTCTGTTGCAACACGGTTCTAGTCTGTCATTCTTCAATAAACAAGTTTTCGATATTAACAAATCTGTTTATCACTTGTTTTGCACAAAAAAAAAATCTCAAATAACTAGGTTTTTCGCCAAATCGAATTCAAAAGGCAAAGCAGCAAAACAAAAACCTGCAAAGAAACTGAAAAAGTAGGTCATAGTCGAGACTGCGAAACTTGTAAACAGATGCGCTGCGCCTCAGCAGCGGCAATTTATCAGTAAAATGCATTAGACACGCGTAAGCGTAAATATTGCCAGTAGTTGTGTACGTGTGTGTGTGTGTGTCTGAGTGTACACTGATAAAGACGGCAGTTTAAAGCAGAAAGCAGAAACCTGTATGCTGACATGTGTCAGACATGAATAGAAAGCTAAACGCACACACAAAGATCTCACCCAAGCTCCCACCCACCCAATGCAAAAGAGAGCGCGAGCGAGAGAGAAGTCAAAAGTTCTTAATATGACTAGTAAAAGAAAATACAAAAAAAAAAATCTGTTGCCCTGCGCTAAGAGCGAATATTGATCGCAAAGCATAACACAAAAAATACACTCTCCTCCGGAATGTGCTTGACCAATCCCCAAAATATATATATATATATATATATATACATATATGAAAATTGTTGGTGCGAGTTAAAAGATGGCGTCACCGGTCAAACGGCAACCACGCATAACAGTAAACAGCGCGCACTGTCTACACATTTTCCCTTAAACAAAAATCAACCGAAGAGTACATAATACAATTATTATCACACAAACATGCATACAAATCTAATAAATTATATGAAGGTAGACGGGCTCGCACTCACAGTGTATGTTTCTGCTTCTTCCAACTTTGACGTAGTCCTCGTTGTCTCTTTTTGCTTTTTCGTTCTTATTGCGTGCTGCTGGGACGTCGTTTACACAAACACAGACACAAGTTCGTCGAAACAGACAAGCACACGCGTTCGGTTTTCGGCTGCTTTATGTACATGTATGGTAAATAAACGGGAGGGAAAAATAAATTTATGAAATAAATTTTTTTTTTTTTTTTTTTTTATTTTGCAATGATCGTGAATTGCACTGGAACAATTTGTAGCATTTAATATCGCAAGCACTTTGGGCTATTGGTGACAAGGGCACAACTCGCTTTATAACGGCGTTTCTAGAGATGGCGGGTCTAACTAACGGCACTTGCACAACACAACACGTTTACCCTTTATTTTCGCAAATCGCTTTAACCGCACAATCACCGTGTAACCAACTTTAATTAGCTAAAGCTGTCTATATATAATTTTAAACAAACACCGCCATTTAATATTTAATTTTATTATATTCTTATTTCTGTAACGCACACGTCTGTCGTTCACGAGCACACGTTAACAACAAAACGAAGAGCGAGAGAGCGCTCTGACTGGAAGCGGTCACCAAGCGCAGTGTTGGGAAACGACAAGTGGGCGTAGCGATTAATAAATGTCAAAAATGATGCATACGTGAACAGGCAATTTATTTATTTTGGGCATACAAAATAAACCAAAAATAATAATATGCATTCATGTTTATGTGGTTCAATAAAGCATCAATACAATTCGATTTTTTTTTTGCCATAATCAACAGCAAATACAATTTTCGTTTTGTGCAAGAGCGCGCGAGCGAGACAACTATAGAGTCTCTCGTGCTCTCTGGAAAATGACCGCAAAGCGGTCTGGAAATCGTATCATCCTGCAACGCCCAAATCAAAAGGGAATATTTGTGTGTATGTGTGTGTATGTTGGTAAGAACGAATTTGGTGATCAAAGCATGCGGGAAAAAACAGCGCCGTTCACGTACATGAAGTGTAAAAGGAATTGTCAAGTCCTGACGCGCTGACCACAAAAAATGCGACACTTTTAAGTATTCGGCTGAGCGCAGAAAAAACTATGTCAATTAAGTCAACCGCATATGCATATGTGCGTCGATTATGTCATATTATTTATTCGAATACACAGCCACACACGCGCACACAAACGGTATTAACACTTTGGCGGCGTCTTCGTCACCGGCATGCCGTGAAAAAATCGATTAGTGCGTTTCGGCTGCGCTGCCTTACTAAAACACAGCTTGGGCCCGTATAGCTGACGCTCGAATTGTTATGGCTCATTTGGCGATTAAATAAAAATTGTATTAAATTATGAACACTATCTTACTTTTTAAATGCAAAAATTACAGTGAAAATCACAGCGCGACGTGCGTGCGTTTCGCTTCGGCTTCGTTTCTGAATGACAATGTGACCAGATGTATTTACACCAAAATGCATTAAAAATGCTGGCAGCCAATCGATAAACAAGAATTTTGTAGTGCCAGTGATTTTGAAGATTTTATATTTTGCTAATATTCGGTTTTAGAAAAAATTTAACGAAAATGCAATTATAAAAAACACAATTATTTTGTTTACTGCACATAACCCGTCTGATCTAAAACCGAAATTTAAATATAAATTATAGATCACGTGGCGCCATCTATTAAGCTTTGGCGGCACTTGAAGCAACATATTTCCTTTTCGAACGCACCCAACTTCACGCGAATAAGGTAACCAGCTGACAAATTACGCGCGTTTTACTGGCATGAAATTGTGTGTTAATCTGGCTCGGGTATATTGCTAATCGGGTTTAATGGATGATATTCTGAATAAATATTAGCTTTAAAACATAATCTCAAGCTCGTTGTTTCTTCTTCTTTAACTATGAGGAGGCAGTGAAATAAAGCATAAATAAAATATTTGGGTTTTATTTCTTTATTACTGGATTATTGACGCAAACCCAGGGACAATACTAATTTGTTGTGTATAAATATAATTATAATAGATATTTAAGCAAATCAGCATGTGCTCAGCTGTTATAGGACGTTTACAACATTACATCTAGAAAACGCAATTAATTCGATAATGGAATTGAAGTTCAATAGAAATAAGCTTTTAGAGCACCGAACTGGAAACGGACTCGATGATCTCGAAGGCGGTCGAGATGTCCGCATCGGCCAGCAGTCGATTGACGGCAATGCGGAGACTGGGGCGAATCGGCCGATGCTCTCTGCTCTGCAAGTAGGCGGCTGGCACGACGGCCACGCCTCGTTCAATACACTGGAAACAAAAACAAGGAATGAGACGTTGCACTGGTGAAAGATTACGAATGCAATCGGTACCTGGTCCGCCACCTGGGTGAGCAGCTTGCTCTCCGCCTCGAAGCTGTCGCGCTCCTCGGTCAAGTACAAGTGCTTGACGGGAGACAACGCGTCGCCGCCCAGCTTTAATTTGGAGAACTGCTCGAACTGGTTGTGCACCTGGCGCGATTTCTGCTGCAGCTGCTCAAAGATGTGCGGCTCGCGTTCAAAGCGATCCAGTGAGGAAATCGCCGCCTGCGTCAGCATAGGCGGCAGCGAGGCGGAGAATATGTAGCCCAGCCCGGACAGACGCTGGTGCTCGGCTATAAAATGCGAGCCCACGCAAAAGCCCCCAATGGTAGCCATGGCGCCCTCCATGCACGCCGATATCAAATCGATCTCGTCGCGCTACAAGAATCAACTGTAAATAGTGTATAACCGAATAGGCGGACACACTTACGCAGACATCAAAGTGCTCGGTGAGGCCGCGACCAGTTCGGCCCAGGGTGCCGAAGGAGACGCTCTCGTCCAAAAAGAGGCGCAGCTTGTACTTTTTGCGCAGCTCGACCAGTTCCGGCAACGGGCACAGCTCGCCCGTATTCATGTAGATGCCCTCAACAACGAGAAAGCGACGCGTCTTTTGTGCCTTCTTTGGATTCTTCAGATCCCGCTTCTCCTGCTCCAACAGCAGGCGCTCCAGATCCTTGGCATCATTGTGCTTAAAGTAGACAATGCTGCTGCGCGACGCATCCATGCCCTTTTGTATGGCAAAGTTGACGGCCTCATCGCTGCAAAAGTGATTACATATTAATTCCATTTCCATTTCCAGTTGTTGATCTTTGGTTCTTACACGAAGATGATGTCGCCACGCTTGGCGTAGGCGGGTATCGCACTGGCCACTGTCGAGAAGCCGTAAGAGTACACAATTGCCTCCTCCAGGTTCATGAACTTTGCCAAACGATCCTCCAGGTCCAAATGCACATCCATGGTGCCATAAAAGCCGCGCGGACCGCACGAACCGACACCATACTTGCGCAGACATTTGCACGCCTCCTCCAAGATGTCGTTATCCTCGAGAAATCCCAAATAGTTGTGCGAGCCCAGGTTCAGGCAATCGTGTCCATCGACCACAATACGCTTGCCCACCCTCGACTGGACCAGACGTGTGCGCAGCAACGGATGATCTGGATCCGTCTCGGCCACCAACGGTTCCGGTTCATATTGTTCAACCAAATAGTCCTGCTGTTCCTTCGAAAGCCGGCGACCGCCTCGCCTGTGCAGCAGCAGCCATATAACTGTGATCAGCAGCAAGGTTTCCAGCACCAGAGCAAAGGTCGGCGTCTGTAGTAAATGCCCGCATGAAATATATGTATGTATTATATATGTACATATATATATTATAGATATATATATATATATATATGAATATATAGATTCATATCAATTTCACACTCACATTACGGAAGATGCTGCCGATTTCGTTGAATAGTTGTATGCCCAACATTTTTATTTGTCTTTTGCCGCTGCTAGTGGGAAAAATCAATTAAATAAAAAGTCACGCCGTTTGTGTGGTTGTTGCATGCGTCATTCGAAGTGTTCTTATCAGATTTGCATGAGTTTCACATACCTCACAGGTGAATAGATACGCGTATTTATCGGCTCTGCTGGCCTGCAGATAAAGACCGACACACTTTAATGGGCGTGTGGTTCTTTTTTATGTTTATGAAATATGTAATAGATTGCGGGTGGGTCGCCTATCGATTCTTATCGGTAAGGCTTTGGTCGATCTTCGATAAGTATCGCACTCAACAAACACGATCACTCTGATCGAGCGTAAGCAGTTATCGAAATAACGCATTGGGGGTATGACCTTTTTAAAGACTGCCAAAACAAATAATTTTTAAATTAAAATTAAAAAAATAAATAAATAAAAAATGTGGACACTTGGGAAATTCAGTTCTGTTTTATACATTTGGTGTTTATTTGTTATCAGCAGCAGGTGCATTAGAGTTCGAAGCGTAACAAATATGTTCAGCATGACGCCCACGTCGTGACACGACTTTCGCGATGAATTAGGAATTGTTAACATATTTTCATGATGATTTTTATATCTTTAGCTGTGAAAAATTGTCTCTTAATTCAGATTGTGCTTTGGCCACAAAAGAAAAGAATGCCCGGCGCGCTTTATAATGGCATTTACCTGATTCACAATATTTTAAATCACATTAATAAGGGCTTATCCAATTTCTTTAAATAAAAACACATTCAAGCTTTATTTTGTTTTGTATGTTTGTATATAGATTTATTTGTTAAATTTATTTTCTTTTTAGTTTGTCTTCCAGCATTTCGTTATTGTATAAAAAAATAAAACAATGATAATTAAACGTTAAACAAATTGTACTGTCCTAGATACGTAATGAGCCAAAAAGAAGGTGTACTAACGTTCCTTTATTGCTTTCTTTGAAACAGAACAAAAGAATGCTAATTGGCAAACACCAAATTGTATATATTTATAAACCATTTCATAATGCACAATAATTGTATGTTTGGTTTAGAAATGTCGCAGACAAATTTGTTTGTAGCAAGTAAATACATAAATTGTTAAAATCAACAGTTCCCTCCTCATGATGCACAAATATGTATGTACTTTGTTTTGTTGTTGTTGTTGTTGTTGTTTTGATCATTTGTGTTGTTTTTAGCGAGAAGCTGTTGTTAAGGTTACTTTTGTTTGGACTTTCCAGACGCTTAAAAACTGGCTACACTAAATTTATGCTCGCATTTGTTTGCCTTGTTTTATATTTAAAAACTATAAGTTGGGTTCCATCTTCTTGTGGGTGTATATGTGTGTGTATGTGTGTGTTTTATGTGTATGTGTGTGTGCTTGTTGTTCAAAATGAAAGTTGGCCTTGCGACGGCGAAAATGTGCATCATGTTGCTGCTGCTGTTGCTGCTGCTGCTGCTGCTCCTATTTCTTGTCGACGCCCGCATTGGACTGTGTAGAGTATGAATATTGAGACCAATAATGATTGGTGGCACCGCCATCATTATTGCCAGTGGCGCCCGTAGTGCCCACCGCACTACCACCGGCATTATTGGCCGCTGCTCCGCCGGCACCCTGCTGTTGTTGCTGCTGTCGGGATTAGACGACACTTAAGTATTGTTGGTTGTGCCGGATTGGGCGTGCCTTGGCTTACCTGCCACCAGGACAT